GGGCCTGCCGGGACGGAACCCCCGCCGCGGGGGCGAACAAAGCGGCGTGAGGGGGGGCGGGATGACAACGGGGAGACGACAAGGCCGCGGCCTCCCGCTGGGCCCCGCAGCGGGTTTATCTCCCCCCGGAGCCGCGGGGAGAGGCCGCTCCGCCTGCCTGGGCGCCGTGGCGGCCCGCTCCCGCCGGGGCCCAGCGGCTCGGTGGCGGGTACCGAGAAAAGGGGTTTGGGGACAAGCCCTGTGTCGCCCCCGCCAGCCCCACCGGGGCTCGCCCCCGCCAACCTTTGTTTTCCAGCCTCGGCTGTTTGCGAGGAAACTCCGGTGCGACGCTTTGAAGTGGTTTTCTATCCGATAGCGTTGGCATCCCGCACGAATTTGATTAAGAAACGTGTTTATGGTGCGGAGGCTGATCGGTTGACTCGCTAACTGCCACTTGCTAATCTAATTAGAGATAACCCCGAACTCGGCCGGCACTCAAGACTCACAGGGGTAATGGCTGGTTAATAAACAAATAGCTCCATTTTCTGCACAAGTTCAGAGCACTCCCTGCTGCCCCAGAACAGCTTTGCTTCAACTTCAGCTGCTCAAATCCCTGTTGCTTTTGGATGCTTTCAGCAAATACCTGAATTTTTTTTTTCCTTCCTTTTTTATCTTACTGATTTTTAATCAAGGGTAAGGGCCCGCGGTTTGGAATTAGGCCCATTGACCTTATCTTGTGAAGTGGGCGTTCGATAATCTTCCGTCGTGATTGAAGGTTTAAATGCAAAATCTTCAGTCGCAAAGCTTTGACTGTTCATGGTGGCAGCTGTAGGGCTCTGTGTTGCTGCAAATGCAGCAAAATTCAGAGAAACGGGTAAATTAAGGGACCTTAATGATGTTCTGGAGTAACGAGTTCCACACGGTAAAGAAAACACTGTGAGTTAATTAACAGTGTTGGGGGTACAGCGTTTTTAATTTCTGACTTCATTCCTAAAATAAGAATCCTGGGTTTTAGTGTCTTTCCTTATGCACTTATACTGTTCTTCCTCCACACCCCCACCCCCTGCCAAAATCCCAGAATAATTTGGGGCTAGATCTCCAATCGTATCACTGTGGCAGAATTCTCCATCTTTTCTGTTTCTTAGCACTACTAATGTTATATTCCCTCTTCTAACGTAAGGAGCTTTTAAATCCTCAGCTGTCCACCTACTCCCAGATGGAAAATGTATTATTTTTATTCACTCCAGTAGTGTAGCCTGTCACCCCGCCTTGTTTTCTGCAGCAGCTGCCTTAGATTGGGACTTTTTGCAAGAGCAAAGTGGCATTTGGCTCCCTTTCTTGGATTTGCCTGTAGCTCATGACTAAAAAAGCCTGTATCTAATACCGGTGAAACGAGACTAATCTTGTCCTCCCAAATGAGCACAGAAAACCAAGTGGTTTGTGTCTTGAAATGGTGAAATACAAAGCTCCCTCTGCAGTATATTTTTATTGCAAGGAGTGCTGTGAGTAAGGGACTGGCCTGGGGCTTCCTAAGTGTTTACTGAGCCTTTTTCCTGTGGGAAAACGTTAGTGGACCTGGAGCTTCATCGGATAAACTTCAGGTTTTGAGGCTGAGCCTCGAATCTTTCTTGAAGATGATCATCCACATCGTCCTTGGGCAGCCACGGAAAAAGCTGTTCCAGTCCAAGCGTGGAACTCTGAATTTCCCTCCCTCCTAAAGCTTGTTTGCCACGGGAGCGCTTAAGTAATCGGAAAATGAGCTCTTAACAAATTAACCTTTTGAGCTTTTACGCAAACATCTAGAGGTGTTTTAGTTGTTATTTTTTACCTTTATGGATTTGTCCGGGTACAGCTGTCTTTGTACAGAAGTCGCCTGGAATTTGGCCTGAGTGTGTTAACACAGAGTTATTCACCTATAGTGTAATTTTTTGGGGTGCAGAAAGCTCAGTGGAATATTAATACCAGGATTCATTCCCCCCCAAAAAGGTAAAAGCCATTGCCATTTGAAAACATAAAAAAGGAAGAAATTAGGCTTTTTAGACCCTGAACTCTTTTATTTCTTTTAGTCTCCCCTGTTTGTTGGCTTGTGAACAGCTGAAGTTGCTTTAAGCAATTTCAAGCTTGGATTGGGGTGTTAAATGCAATGTCTTTTCCTGTTTTATGTGAAATGCTGCCAGTAATCCTTGGCGAGTTTGTTTTGAAAGGACATCAAAAAAACCCTGTTTTCTCTTGCTAGAATACCCGGGTTCTGCTCGCATTTGTTGTACTTCCTCGGGAGCTGGAGTGACTTCCGTGCTTGGGTTTGCCTTTGATTTAAAAACCTTCAATAGGGCAAACCGGGCAAGTTCCTTTTTCTTTGTGCTTTTCTTAATTGATCATTTGGATGTGACAAGCCTTTGACCTGGTGTTATTTGGAATATGTTTTAAACCCAAGCTTGCATTAATTCCACCAACCAAAATATAAAGAGAAAATTTGAGCTGCTTCCTGATAAGCCCTCGTGCTCTAATAACAATGGGGGCTGGATTTTGATCCCTTCTCCTCTGATTAAGGCACTTTTTCACACACAGGCAATGAGCAAAAACATCAATTTGAGAATAAAATACAAATATTTTCCTTCAGTCCTGCATCATTTCATTGCAGATTTTTAGCACTAGAAAAACATTCAAGTTTAATTTTTTTTTTTTTTGAGCTCATTGCCTCACATGCTTGGTATACTGTTAAAAAATAATTAACGCTTCCAGTATTAGTAGCTAAAATACTTGGCTTTTCCAGTATTGATGCCTGTACTTAAGCATGGAATGGGGACAGCAGCAGCGTTGTCTCAATATGCAACACAAGTGATGTTTTTGATTAGAACCTGGGCTCTGGACTCAGAGTTCCAGGCTTACAAGCCTGAGGGCCAGGCTGCGATACCATCTTACGACAAGAATTCAGACCAAATTTGGGGTTTTGTCCCACTTTTGATTGTGGTTAGGTGGAGCTCACCCCCTTGCCAACTGTGCCCTCGCTCCTCGAGCTCAGGCCGTCGCGATATCGGGTATCGTGGGCCGGCAGAAATGCTGAGCGCATTAACCCAGCGGGATGAGAGGCACGTACTGTCTCCCAGTGCCTTGTGATGTTTGTCTTTACCTGGAGCTCCTTAATCAGCGGGCTTTTCGCTAACGAGGTGGTTTCAAGGACTGTTGTGCCAAGTTGGCTCTGTGAGTAACCGGTGCGTAAGGGTTTCTGCCTCTCCCAAGGTTTCTCCGTGCTGAAATGGCTGTGAAAGTTGGTTTGTGTGATTGTGATCACATATCCCGTCCCGTGGGCTGAGTTTGGGTGGGCTGAAAGTCACACCAGCGTTTCCCCCGCCACGAGTGTTCTGGGAAATTCCCCCAAAGTGTTGCCTGAAACGGCTCCAGGCGGTTCGTTTCAAGAGGAGTTTGAGGCTCAGGTGGGAGCTTTAAAAGTATTTTGGAAAACAGATTTTCCTTTTGTTTCTTGAAGGGCGCCTTAAATGCTTTCCTCCTGGCGAGCACACGTGCGTTCTGTTTTTTCCTGCCGCTTTTCACCGGCCTCGGTGCTTGGCATTTGCTGAGGCTTAATTTGGGAAATTAATTTGTCCCTTGGATCTGCATACAATGGAAATGGCATTTCTGATCCTTTTTTTCCACTTGTTGGGATTAGCAGAGCTCCTCTGCTTCCAGCCACCGTCAGGCTACCGGGAGCCTTCCCTTGGGCCGGGCTTACGCGGGAGCAAGGTGATGAGCCAGTCTGCACGTCCTTAATTAACTGCCTTTCTTTAATTGCAGACTTGAAATCAAAGACGCAGCCATGAAAGACCCGAGTCGCAGCAGTACCAGCCCCAGCATCATCAGCGAGGATGTGATTATCAACGGGCACTCTCATGAAGATGACAATCCCTTCGCCGAGTACATGTGGATGGAAAACGAAGAGGAATTTAACAGGCAGGCAAGTCCTTTCCCCCTGTAAATCCCTTGGGATGTGCTTTGTCATTTCCCAGCTGAAGGGAGAGGGTTAGCAACTGGGGTGCCAGGCTGGGAATCCTTTAGAGATGAGTTTTTTAGAGAGAGGTTTGCTGGAATAATCCTGGGGAACACACACATCTTGGTTTCTCTGGCAATAAATACTTGTTTTCTGTAATCTTAGTGGAAGATGTGGGAAGTGTGGTGCCTTCTGATGCATCCATTAATTCCCTACTTCTGCAGGAAGGAGGGGGAAAAAAAGTAGTTGCTGGGCTTTGTGTCCCTTTGGAAGGGACAGTTCTTGGGGAGGTTTGATGTGCACAGACAGGCTGGCTGTTCCCAGCTGGATGTGTGGGGGATACCTGCCCTGGCAGTGGGGCTGGTGCTCCCAGGGGAGGGGGTGGACAGAGCTGTGGGGTGACAGTCCTGCTCGTTGCTTAATACTTCAGTGTCTCAGAGCTGGGCCTTCGCAATTGGGTTGGACTGAAGCCTTCACTTGGTCTTTCACCTTGCGTCTGGACGTGGTTTTCTCTCCTGTGGAGGCTGGGAACAGCCTTCCTCTTCCCACCACCCCTTTCTTCAGCAAAACTTGGTCTTTATCCTCAAGGCACTGCTTTTCTCTGTGCCCCAGTATGGCCGTGCTGAGCTGCTGACACAGGGTAGGGCTGCTGCTCTCTCCTTAGGGTGCCAGCAGGGCTCAAAGCTAGTCTGAAATTCAGGTTGCTCGCAAAAATGTGAAGTTCTCTTGTGCCTACCTCAGGGTGGTCTCAGTGAGGTTTCCTCTCTGGTGGGTTTTTCCTCCTGGGGACTGTGGTGTAGTCAGCACACGGGATGTGTAGTTCTCGGGGAAGGAGCAGAGAGTTGGGCCCTGAATAAACTATTTTTCAGGTACAGACTCCATTTTCAGAGAAGAGGGATGAGGGGAGCAGTTATTCAGAGTGTGTGGCAGCCTGGTTGCCTGCTGCTGCGGGCACGGCGCTCTGTGGGCACCCAGACCCCTTAAACTTGGGCAGGAAAATACGAACAGGCAATATTAATGTCCAGACATTTGGGGAATTAGATGTTATTTAGTATTTCTGGAGCTGTTAGAGGCACCCTTAGGTGTCTGACCATGTAACACAAACCCAGGACTGGGCAACCCCTGCTGTAATACTGGCTGGTGGCTGTGTGCCCCTGGCTGCGTGCCCGTGGCTACCTGACACCCACACGCAGGATAGAGGCCCTGCCTCACGAGGAGGATCAATGGGAGACTGCTGTCCCTGCTGGAGTGTTTTACTGGGGGGTGTTTGTAGAGGGTTTGGGTTGTCTGGAGAGTCACTTAGGGTGTACGGCGATGGGTCCCTGTGCGTCCTGAGCACCAAGGGACCTGGTGGGTGTCTTTGTGAGCGTGTTCCTAAGCTCAACTCTGGCTTGAATTCTTCTGATTTAGAGTTTGTGGGATGTAACTGAGTTTCCACTTCAGGATGGAGTATGTGTTTGCTGTCAGAGTGAAGGATAGATGGGAAAACTTGTTCAAGCTTCCACTGGGTGAACTTTTAAATCAGTCCAGAATTATTTTCCCCCTCCCTTGTGCCTGGCAAATCATTCACACCAGCTTCCATTTCCCTGCTTTCCACTCTGAAGTGCTGTGATGCGGGACGTGGAAAATCTGTCGGGATGAGCTCCCTCCAAAGCTTGTTTACTGAACAACCCAGCAAAGCTCTCCCTGTGTCTCCGTGGGGCCTGGCAGCTCTGCACGGCTTGGTTTGTCCTGCTCAGAGTGTGGCAGGGCAGCGTCCTGAGCAACCCCTGTGAGAGAACTGCTCTGGGTGATCCCGAAATCTCCAGCCGAGGGGGTGCTGCTCGTTCCAAGTGACAGGCAGTGGTTATTTTTTCCCAGGAATGTTGCAGGATGCTTTCCAAGGGAATGTGCCGGGCTCTGCGCGTCGCCCCTGCTTCCCTGCCTCACACTCGTTCAGCCCAGCCCAGTTGGTACCACTGAAATATTCACTTGGAACCAATATTTTCCTTCTCCTTGAGCTCCTAATGAGCTGCAAATGAACCGGCTTGGGCTGGGAGGGGGGTTCTCCTGCCCTTCCCTTTTAACTGCAGCTCAAATTCCTTGGACAAAAACACTTCACTAGATTAAAATCCACAATGCTTGCGTTGTGGTTTCTGCTGGAAGTCCCGTTGCGTAGCTCAAGAGAAGGCCAGCCAGGTCCACAAACCTTGAAGACCCAAGTTCTCATTAAGTTTGTTGATGACGTGGTTTATTCTCCTCGTGCAGATCGAAGAGGAGTTGTGGGAAGAGGAATTCATTGAGCGCTGCTTCCAGGAGATGCTGGAAGAAGAGGAGGAGCACGAATGGTTCATCCCAGCCCGTGACCTCCCACAAACAATGGATCAAATCCAGGACCAGTTCAATGACCTTGTTATCAGTGACAGCTCATCACTGGAGGATCTGGTGGTAAATTCAGTTTCTCATCATATTTCTAAAGCTTCTAAATCTCTCGTTTTCTGAGGCTGATGTTTGTTGCTGATAACGGCAGGAGAAAATCCTTTACACATAGCCAGAGCCCCTTAAACCATCCTGGCTGTGGTGGAGGGGGACTGGGGGGGGGTAAAAGGGTGTTTCCTCAGGGGACGTGAGTGATTTGGAGGGTTTTCTTCACAACCATATGGTGCCTTTCCTCACCTGTGGCACAAATCCAAGAAGCATGTTTAATTTGGCATCTCTCAAGGCTTTGGTGTCGGGACAGGTACGAGCCGTGGTCTCAGCTCTGGTTTGGATCATGCAAACAGCAGATCACAGCAGATCTCTCTGTAGAAATCCTGAGGAGGATGAGGAAAGCAGCTAAACTGGGATTATTTCCCTGTTTGTTGCTGTGTGACTTCTCTCCAGAGCTCAACTAAAAGGAAAGAGCAGCGTGTACATATTTTTCCCTAACAAAATATGAAGTTACTGATAAGCTTAAGCAGTTTTTTGTCATTGCAAGCTTAGGCAGCTGCAGGCAGCAGTTTTTGGACTCAGTTAAGAGCACAAAAGCCTAATCCTCCATTATTATTATTATTTTTTATGAGAAAGAGCTCATTTTGGAGATGCCCACCTGTAACTGCAGCACATCAACACCTATAAATACTTAAAGGGTGGGTGTCAGGAGGATGAGGCCAGTCTTTTTTCAGTGGTGTCCAGGGACAGGACAAGAGGAAATGGGCACAAACTAGAATATAAGCAGTTCCATCTGAACATGAGGAGGAACTTCTTTCCAGTGAAGGTGGCAGAGCCCTGGCAGAGGCTGCCCAGGGAGGTGGTGGAGTCTCCTTCTCTGGAGACATTCAAAACCCGCCTGGACACGTTCCTGTGGGACCTGCTCTGGGTGGACCTGCTCTGGCAGGGGGTTGGACTGGGTGATCTCCAGAGGTCCCTTCCAACCCGGTGTGATTCGGTGACACTGCAGAGCAGCAGCTCGCTGAGGGGCAGGGCAGGGTCAGGCACAGGGATTTCCAAAATCAATAGGGCGCTCGTATACGTTAAATTCTCAGAAGCGGCTTAAGTTCCTGGAACATGCCTCCTCTTGCTTAAATAAGCAGGATCTGGAAACCTCACAGCTCAACTTCAGCAGGAACTGTTTCCACGTTCATCCGAGCTGCTGTATTTATTTGGGTTTTCTTATTCCCTGAGCCCTTATCTGAGCGAAACGCCCAGGAAGGAGGGATAACTCAGGGACCAGCACAGAGGAGCGGCCTTTTCCAGTGATAATAAAGACTTGGTGTGTGCAAAGAGGGTGTAATACACCTGACTGTCACGCTAAATCCATATTGTCCCCCTAGAAACGTGTTCAGCTTGAAGCTAGAAGATGAAAAATGATGCTTCACCTCGATTTTCTCCTTTTTCCCTTCCTCAGGTCAAGAGTAACCTGAATCCAAACGCAAAGGAGTTCGTTCCTGGGGTGAAGTACTTAAATATTTGAGTAGACTGGGCCCTCTCTTGGTGGATGTAGCACAATTTCCACACTGTGAAGCCAGTATTAGAAGATTTAATTGTAAAAGCTCTTCTTCTTCTTGTCACTGTGTTACACTTATGCATTGCCAAAGTTTTGTTAGTCTTGCATGCTCAATAAAAAGTGCTGAGACTGTTATTAAGTAAAATCTGTCAAAAGTTTAATGGAACCATAATTGGGCCCTGGCTCTCTGCGGAGGGGACAGCGAGGGTGAGAAGCACCAGTCAAGTTGGAGACAAAAGTACCACGTTCATAAAAAAAAAACAAACCACCAACCTTCTGCAGACTCTGACTATTTTTTATTAAACCAGGACTGGGAATTTGCTAGGGATGGTCTGTTTTTAATTAAAGATGTGCTCGCTGGTGCTAGTTTGCACCTGAAAATGCCTTAACTTCAACAAAATGAAAGGGAGGAGATTGATTGTTATGCAAATTAGCCGACTTTTCCTTTGAAATATCAGTCTTGTTACTAATGTTAATTTTTTTTCCCTTAAAAAAACAAAAAAAACCCAAACAGCAAACAACTTTATGCTCCTTTTAAACCAGGGTGAGCTTTAACAGACCTGTGCAGAGTCCTAGATCTCCGCTGCCCAACTAATTCCACCCCCTGGACCCCCAAAATCCCCCAGCCTTGGTGGGATGTGATCATGTTGGAAACCTTCTCCCCTCCCCACGCCGTTGGAGGAGGTGGGGGTCCCATCCCAATTTCTTCTCCGGACACATAGCGCTGCCTATGGTAACTTTTTAGCTTAATGACTTTATTCTAGCTGGATTTAACCCAGAGAAACCCTAGCGGTAGTGATTTGAGTGGTGCTTTTCCCTTGCTTTGTTTAATCATCACTACACAATAGTCTACAGCACAACGACTTTTTTTTTTCTTGGGGAGGAGGGGGGGGGTTGTTTTGTTTTGTTTTATTATTATTTTTTTTTTCTTTTAATAAAGCTAGAACAGTTTTGGCTTCTTAAACTTCATATTCGGGTAGGTTAAGCTGCCATACGTGTTCAGTGTGAATAGTGTTTAAGTTGAAAATATTGTAAAAAAATTATATTTTTTCAAAAATATTTAAAAAAATAAATAATAGTAGAACCGACGTGGTGGTGGCCGTCTCGTGAATGCGCTGGGGGGCAGCCTGCAGGGGACAGGGGTGACAGCCCAAAATGCTCATCCCAGGTTGGACTCTGCCTCTTCTTTTCTCTCTTCCCTCCCACTTTCTGGGTGTATTTTCCTCGTTTCTCACTGCTAATTACGATTCCGTCATCGTTAACCGCTGATGGAGGGCATCAGGCCCTACTTGGCATGGTGCTGGTGGGACTGGGCCAGTCCTCCCCAACCTCTCTGAGCCACTCTGGCTTCATAACTCTGCCCGACCTCTGCTCTGGCTTTTAATTAATCAGCCTCTGATTAAACCCAAGGGAAACTCTTCAGCAGTGATGCAGGAGGGGAGGAGGGAGGCAAAGCCTCCCCCCAGGTGTTGGTGGAACCACGGGGTCTTGCTCCAGGTGGAAGAACCTCTCGGAGGAGGTCGCTCAGACCATCTCGTGCTGCCGGGTGCTCTGCAAAGCGTTAATTGCAATTATCCCCAGCTCCTGATGAGCCTTCCCCCTTCCTCGCCTGGGATCTGCCCTTCCTAGAAGTGGCAAAACCCTCCTGGTGGTTTGGAAATAGTTTGGGCTCCAGCACCGAAGAGCAGAAGGTCAGGAAATAACCTGCTGCTGGTGCCCCCGCTTATTTTTAGCTGGGGGGGACGGAGTTTCTCCAGAGCCCTGGTGTGGCTTTAGAGCCCAGGGGTAATTAGCTGGGGCTGATTGATTGGTGACCAAGTGCTGCTGTGAGGAACCAGAGCTGTCTTTTCCCTGCCGTGTGGCAGAGCTGTGATGGGGGGAGACTCACCGAAGGGGGGACCTTCCCCCTGGTCTCTGCTGGGATGGAGCCGTGTTGTCCCCAACAGCCCCTGCCTTTGGGGTCTGAGGGGGGCACAGTAGCATTTCGGCTGCTGGACTGCGCTGGGATGGTGGGGTTTCGGCTCTTCCACTTTCTCTGGTCCCCAGCGAGGTGGGCAAGGGGCTGGGAGGGCGGAGCCGTGTTGTCCCCGGCAGCCCCTGCCTTTGGGGTCCGAGGGGGGCACGGCGGCGTTTTGGCCACTGGGATGGTGGTGTTTCGGCTCTTCCACTTTCTCTGGCCCCCAGCGAGGTGGGCAAGGGGCTGGGAGGGGACCCGGCTGACCAAAAGGGTGTTGGACCCCCTGGGACATCACACGTGGCATCAGATGGAGAGGTGGGGCTCGGGGCCGTGGTGGTGGGAGGTGGCGAGCGCTGGCCTTTGCACCACGCTGGGGATTTTGGGGGGTTATTTATTTTTTTTCCCCCCTCTTCCCTCACTAAACTCCCTTTGTCCCCACCCAACAAAGAAAGCAAGCCAATGGCATCCTGGCTTGTATCAAAAATAGTGTGACCAGCAGAAGTAGGGAGGTGATTGTGCCCCTGTACTCAGCACTGGGGAGGCCACACCTCGAGTGTTGTGTCCAGTTTTGGGCACCTCAATCCAAGAGAGATCTGGAGGTGCTGGAGCGAGTGCAGAGGAGGGCAACGAAGCTGGTGAGGGGGCTGGAAAACAAATCGTATGAGGAGCGGCTGAAGGAGCTGGGGCTGTTTAGTGTGAGGAAGAGGAGGCTGAGGGGAGACCTCATCACTCTCTACAACTACGTGAAAGGACACTGTAGAGAGGTTGGTGCTGGTCTCTTCTCACAGGTAATTAGTGACAGAACGAGAGGGAACGGCTTCAAGCTCCAACAGGGGAGGTTTAGCGTTGGAACAGGCTGCCCAGGGAGGGGGTGGAGTCCCCATCCCTGGCTGTGTTTAAGGGCCGTTTAGATGCAGTGCTGAGGGACATGGTGTAGGGGAGGACTTTGTAGAGTAGGGGAGATGGTTGGACTCGATGATCCCAAGGGTCTCTTCCAACCTAGACCATTCTATGATTCAACGGGGTTTCTGGCTGGGGAGCGAGAGGGTGGTGGTGCCACCACGCCGGTGGGGGCAGTGACCGGGTCACGGCCACAATGGCTTCCACCTCAGTGTTTTTGGTGCTAAACTCAAGCCCAGAAACGGGTTTCACCGTCACCCCCGAGGCCACGGGATCTGTGGGGCCGGGATGGAGCCGGCTCCCGGGTGCTCCCCAGAGCGGGAGGGGTTTGCCGAGGGGCTGACCCCCCTCTCCTGGGAGCCAGGTCGGGGTGAAATCGGGGGTGTCTCCCCCCGGGGCAGCCCCGGGGACGGGGGAGAGTAGGGAAACCTGCAGGAGCCGGCGAAGACGCTCCGTGGGGCGAGAGGGCCTTCAATTTTTTCACTTTTAATGTATGATCTAAAAAGAGGCATCTTGTCGCTGGCCTGGGCTGCACCCCCGCACAGAGCCCGCTCCGGCCGCCCGGCAGCCCTGCCCCAGCCCAGGGCACGGGGTGAAAACTCGTGTCTCCGGGGGCTCTGGCTGGTTCCTGTGGTGGCTAACGAGCTTCAGCAAGTGGCTAATGAGCTTCAGGAAGCACCAGATGAGTCTCAAACAGCTACAGCTTGAGGTGGAGCGATGGCAGGGGGGTGGTGGTCCCCAGGCAGGCACCCCGGGAGCTGGGGATGTCCCCAGAAGCCACCTCCGAGTTTCCCCAGCCCGGTGTTCGGGGCAGGCACCTTCGGGTTTGCCGGCTGCCAGCAAACCCCCGAGCTCGGCTCGGCTCCTCCGGGGCCACGAGCCCTCCCCTGGCTCAGATCTTGGTGCAGACGGAGATCCCGTCGTGAAAACTCGTGTCTCCGGGGGCTCTGGCTGGTTCCTGTGGTGGCTAACGAGCTTCAGCAAGTGGCTAATGAGCTTCAGGAAGCACCAGATGAGTCTCAAACAGCTACAGCTTGAGGTGGAGCGATGGCAGGGGGGTGGTGGTCCCCAGGCAGGCACCCCGGGAGCTGGGGATGTCCCCAGAAGCCACCTCCGAGTTTCCCCAGCCCGGTGTTCGGGGCAGGCACCTTCGGGTTTGCCGGCTGCCAGCAAACCCCCGAGCTCGGCTCGGCTCCTCCGGGGCCATGAGCCCTCCCCTGGCTCAGATCTTGGTGCAGACGGAGATCCCGTCCGGGGTGTCCTGCCCCTCTGCGGCCGCCGTGTCCCCCTCCCTCGCCCGGGCTCTGAACCCGGTGAAGACGGGGCAGACGGGGACGCGCTTCATCCAGCGGCTCCTCCTCACCGCCCCCATCCCGAAGGGGAAGTCGTAGCTCCTCAGGCTGGCGCTGGCCGCGCTGTCCGAGTGGGCACCCGCCTTCCACTGCACCAGCCCTCGCTCCTCCGCCGTCCCTGCCGCGGGCGCAGACGGGTCGGCCGGGAGACACCCCCTCCCCTGCCCAGCCTCATCCCCATCGCCCCCTGATCCCCCCCCTGGCAGCCCTAAAGCAAAATCAATCTTCCTCCAACCCCCCTCCCCTGCTCCCTCCCCCCGGGATGGGTTACCCGGGATGGTGTTGTCCAGGATGAAGGCGATGGTCCCCCCAACGAACATCTCCGTCGTCAGCAGCACCGTCAGGATCTGGTCCAGCTCAGGGACACCTGTGAGGAGCCAGGTTTGATTAATTAGTCATTGCTTCCCCCAGGGTGGGTAAGCTGTGGGGCGGTCTGCCCGACCCTCTCTCCCTAAATGCCCCAAAAATTGGGGCTTTTCCTGGTGGGCGGGTACCCGTGTTAATGGCCTTGGGGTGGGAATCCAGGTAGTTGGGCAGCGTCAGCCCGAAAAACATGGCGAATCCCAGCACGAAGAGGTTGCGGGAGGAGTTCATGTCGACGAACTGCAGGTTGGAGAGGCCCACGGCCGTGATCATGCCTGCCAGCAGAGACGGTCGGCCGGGTGGCGGGCGGGCAGGGAGGCCCAGGGAGGTGGCCAGGGGCATCTGAACCCGGCCCCAAGGCCCCCCCAGCCCGCCCTGCTCCCCACGGGGGGGTGGTGGTGGTGATGGTGGGGTGGGAGGTGCCGCCGTTACCAAACAAGGTGCAGAACATCCCCCCGAGGATGGGGTCGGGCAGGGAGGCGAAGAGCGCCGTGAACTTGCCGATGGTCCCCAAGATGAGCATGATGCCGGCCCCGTACTGTATCACCCTCCTGCTCCCCACCTGTGCCAAGAGATGGGGGGTGATGGCCCCTGTCCCCCCCTCCTCGGTGAGCGGGGACCCCTCCCCAGCCCCGGTACCTTGGTGATGCCCAGGACCCCAATGTTGGGGCTGGAGGAGGTGGAGCCGTTGCCGGTCCCCAGCAGCCCCGCGATGATGCAGGAGATGCCTTCGGTGAAAATGCCCCTGGGGAACGACACGAGGGGGCTGGTCCCCACCGCCCTGTCCCCCGGGGACGCCACGGGGCGGGCAGGGGTCCGGCAGGTACCTGTTAATGGCGTGCACGGGGGGCGGGGGGGCTCCGGCCAGGCGGGCGCAGGAGTAGTAGTCCCCGATGGACTCGATGATGCCCGCCAGCGTGGCGCTGAACATGCCCAGCACGGCCGCCGAGGTCACCGTGGGCAGACCCCACTGGCCTGCCCGGGGAAGGGGGGGCAGAGCCGGGGTGTCAGGGTGGGGAGCACCCCAGGATCAGGGTTGGGACCCCCCCTTGGGTGCTCCCCAGCCGCGGTGATGCCGAGCCAGGTCCCCGTGTCCCCTGGGTCGAAGGGCCATGGGGGGGACCTGCGTGGCACAGGGCGGCCTGGCACTCACAGGGGTAGGGGACCCGAAACCAGGGTGCCACGGAGAGGATCTCCCCCCGGGCGTCTGTCCTGGCCTTGTAGCCGTAGGCCTCGGGCTGGCTGGGGAAGACGCCAGTGAGCGTCAGCACGTAGCAGAGCAGCCACACCACCATGATGGCCATGATGATCTGCGGAGGCAGAGATGGGGGATGCACCCCCCACATCAAACCCACGCCTGGAGAAAGCTGGGGGAGGTAGGGGACTTTTGGGGCACCCCCCTCCCCCTGCCCCAGGACATGGCCGCTCTGGGCCAGTCCCTACCGGGAACAACTTGAAGATCTGGACGCGGAGCAGGACGAAGCCTTTGCCGCGCCGGTAGCCGGGCAGGCAAATGGTGATGTTTCTCAGGTACTGGGCGAACAGGATGATCAGGACGATGGTCCTGGGGGGAAGAGAGAGACACACCAGGTCCCTCGTGCCCCCAGCGTGTTCCTGGCTCCAGGAGGACCCCACAACTTGTCCCCCCATCCCTGTCCCCGTTGCCGTACAGGGCGGCGATGCCCCAGTGGGAGCCGGCCCGCTCGCCCGCCGCCTGGAAGACGGAGAGGCCGATGAGGGAGACGGTGGGGGTGACGGTCAGTGGCCCGATGTAGCTGAGCAGCGCCCCGGGGAGCCCCAGTAGCCCGATGACCACCTCCACCAGGCTGGACACCACGATGGCCCCCTGGATCTGCGGGGCATGGAGGAAGGAGGAGGTGGGGAGAGAGAGAGGAGGGGTCAGCACCCCAGTGGTGGTTTTGGGGTCCCCCGGGGGTGGTGGCGGGGTGTACCTCTCGCATGCGGGGCTGCCAGACGTGGGAGGTGTTGAGGGGCAGCGTCCAGTTGCCGTAGATCTGCTCTGGGGATGGAGGG